GTAGAGAGAGTAGAGTAGAGAGAGAGAGAGAGAGAGAGAGAGAGAGAGAGAGAGAGAGAGAGAGAGAGAGAGAGAAGAGAGAAGAAGAGAGAGAGAGAGAGAGAGGACAGAAGTTCAACCCACACTTTGCATACAATTGTGAACTTGAGAATGGATTTAAGATGCTGCAATGCAAGGACGCTAATCATCAAATTCTTAGGGAGAGAGAGAGAGAGCACTGAGAAGCTTATTGTTTTTACAGCGTGCTCTCTCTGAACCAACTGTTTTTACCTCTGATTCTCAGCTTCCGAACAGTTTTCCAATCACTAAAGGGACCCAGTTCTCTTATGAACGGAGCAAACCATCAAATCCTGTGCTATGAGACAGAGAGTACCTTGGCGTGACGAGACCTACTTTCTTCTTCTGGCTCGCAGAGAGAGGCAGGAGGCTCTCTCGCTTCTTCGTCTCCTCCTCCTGTTGGGTGGAGCTGGGAGAGGTTTATGAGACGTGTGCCGAGGCTCTAAACCATCAAAGTAAACCGCACCTTCAAATATTATCGAGAAATGCAGTTCAAAGTTTAAAAGAGAGCCGAGGCTCTAAACAATCAAAATAGTGGCAACGGCCAAATACCCCCAAATTGATCATCTCACAATCAAGATCCATCGACACATAAAAAAACAGATTTCAAGTTTTGAAAATAGTGTATTTTATAATGAATTTTTTAATCTTAATTTTCAAGGTTTTCAAGTTTTTATAAATATGTTAATTACACTAGTTTTGAAACTCTAACTTTATAAATAAAGATAAAAATATATTTTAAGGTTTTTACAAAGATTTTCACTATTAAAATCATATTTCTCAATACTATTCAAAAGTAGGTTTTAATTTGATTGTTTAGAGCAGTGTTTAAAAAAACGGCGAGTAGAACCGGACTCGTCTTGTTCGACTCGGGAATCGCCATGGACGGATCGAATCGGCAAAAAAACGGGAATCGTCTGGTTCTAGAGAGAACCGGACGATTCTGTACAGTGACTCGCCGATTCACTGTACGGAATCGGCGAGTCCGTACAGTGAATCTGAAGTCCCATACGGAATTTTTTTTTTTTTTTTTTGTAATCCATGATAGATTTTTTTGTAATACTTGATCGATTTTTTTGTAATCCATGATCGAATTGTTTTTTTTTTT